TTGATGGATTCTGATACCTCTATTTCCACGAAAGTAAAAGCCTAATTAAACTGCAGTGTCTCTGTATGCTGGTTTGTGTGTACTCGCTCTCCCAACGGGGAGCTTACCTAACATGATTAGCAACCTTGACACTTTGTTCATTGCTTCAGGAAGAAAGTGTCCTAAATTGATACAGGGAAGTAGAGAATCAGTTGTGCCAAGGTCAACAGGTATAATTATTTTCATGATGTTTCAATGAAAAAGCAGGAACGCATTTGGTACTGAATAAGTATAGATAAAATATAGAATTCTGCTCTCCTGTACCTCATTGAAAACACAATAATGAGTTAAAAAAATAGGGAGCAGCAGCAGATATGAAAGGAACTCAAGAAACATACATGGATGGAAGATCAAATACTGAAAAAGAAAGTGTTGATAACCATACTTGGCCTTGATAACCATAGGACATGAAGCATGGAGTCTTTTATACCTCACCTCTCACCATACCTCCATCAGGTTTTCCAATATAACAAATGACAAAGAATTATCCATTGATCTTTGTTTTCAGAGCAGATTGTCTTTTATTATTGTTATTCAATCACTAAATCATGTCTGACTCTTTGTGACCCATGGACCATTGTAGGTTGCAGGTGGTACGCCCCGTTACGGGCGTACTGGAGCCTGCCTGGAGCACAGGATACCGTTCCAGTACGGTGCTCTGGAGGGCCCACCCACCCGCACGACCTCCTTACCTGTCTTTTAAAGCTTCCGTGCTTCCGTGCATGCACATGGTGTGTACAGCACCTGTGCGACGCTCTGCGGAGCAGTTGGAGCAGCGCAGAGGTGCTAAGATGCATGTGCGCATTGGAACGGGACCCAGAACCCACCACTGACCATTGCATTCCCGTCCCCTCTTCCACTGTCTCCTGGAGTTTGCCCAAACTCATGTTTGCTGTGTCAAAGACACTGTCTAACCATCTTGTTCTATACAATCCCCTTATCCTTTTGTCTTCAATCTTTCCCAGCATCAGGGTCTTTTACAATGAATTATCTCTTCTCATTAGGTGGTCAAAATATTTGAGCTTCAGCTTTAGTGCCTGTCTTTTAAAAGAACAGTCAGGGTTGATTTCCTTTAGGATTGGCTGAATTGATCTCCTTGTAATATAAGAGACTCTCAAGAGTCTTCTCCAACTACACAATTCGAAAGCACCAATTTTTCAGCACTCAGCTTTCCTTAGCATCCAAGTCTCACAGCCATACGTTACTACTGGGAAAACCATAGTTTCGACTATACGGACCTTTGATGGAAAGGTGATGTCTTTGCTTTCTAATATGCTGTCTAGGCTTGCTGTAGCTTTGCACTCAAGGAGCAAATGTCTTTTAATTCCATGGCTACAGTCACCATCCACAATGTCCTTGTAGCCCAATAAAATTATCACAGTTTTCATTTCCATCTCTTCTATTTGGCAGGAAGTGATGAGACCAGACACCATGAACTTAGCTTTTTTTAATGAGATTCAGGTGAACTTTTGCACTTTCCTTTTCCACCCTCATTAAGAGGCTCTTTAGTTCCGCCTCACTTTCTGCCACAGAGTGGTATCATCTGCATAGCTGAGGTTAATATTTCTCCCAGAAATCTTAATTCTGGCTTGTGAGTCATCCATCATGGTATTTTGTATGATGTATTCTGCACATACAGTAAGTTAAATAAACGGGGTAACAATATACAGCTTTGCGTTGTCTGATTAAAGGTACCATTCCTTAAAATCAGCTATGTGCTAGTGGTTCCCAACTCTAGGGGGTGGTGCTCATCTCCGTTTCAAAGCCGAAGAGCCAGCACTGTCCAAAGATGTCTCTGTGGTCATCTGGCTGGCATGACTAAATGCCAAGGGAACACGGAACGCTGTTACCTTCTCACAAAGATGGCCCCTATTTTTCTACTTGCATTTTTACATGCTTTTGAACTGCTAGGTTGGCAGCCTTAGCCACTGAGCCACGCATCCCTGTCTGATTATGTGTCATCAAATCAATGCCAACTCTTAGCGACCAAATAGATTTTCTCCGTGATGATCTGTCCCTAACCTGATCTTTCAGGTACAAGTACTTTAGTCTTCTATATTGTTAGGCAGGACATCACTGGATTGAGTCTCTAGTACCTCGTAGGATCCCTGCTCCGGAGCTTGTCGGGTGTGAGTCCCTGCTGGTGAAG